CTCCTTCTCCTGCCTCGGGGCCCTTTATAGCCCGGCCAGGAGGCGTTGCCACACGGTTGGGTTTTTTTTTGTTGCATTCCCGACGATTTTCATCATTTCTAAAACCTGAGCCAACTTCCAGAATCGTCATTTTTGCCTTTGTTCTGTTGATGCTTTTTGTCATACTCCACTAGAAGGTTTTTCTCTCACAAAGGGCGTCTTTATGCTTCTTCCATTTCCAAGTAAATTATCAGGTGTGATTCAAAGGAGGAGGCTCCTTGCTCAGGGCTACGATTTAATTCCTTCTGCACTGTTAGCTCTGGAACAGGCAGTGTTTGAGGGAGTAACTCAGCATCTCTTTTACTGTGGCTTTTCATCCCAGTTATAGTTTCCTGTCCCTGCTTAGGCTGCACACACACCTGCAGGGACAGCAGCTGTGTCGTGACACCTCCACAGCCCCGTGAGTACAATGGTGCCAGAAGGAACTTGGCTCCTGATCCTGGAAATACAAGTGTGCTCTTTTATCCACAGGGAGAGGGATGATCAGTAGTGAAAAAGCAATGAAAAGGGAATTCGTGCTCCAGGGCTCACTCGAGTCTTTACTTCAGAGACCACCCGTGAGTGGGGGAATGTGAAAAGGCATTAGCAGGGGATGGTTTGTGTTCTTTGTGGATGAGCACTAGCAAACCATCCTGAAAGGGCAGGGTATGGCTGCTAGCTAGACATTATGAGATGCTCCAGGAAAAATGCGGAATAGCATAAAGTAGATGAAGGATGTAAGGAACAAACTCCTGGGGTCTAAGCCCTGTGAGCAGGAGCACAAAGCTGACAGCAGCACAGCTTGGCAGCCAATGCTGGTGATGTTTTCTGAGAGGGACAACTCCATCAGTTGTGACCAGGCAGGACAAGTGCAGTGTGAGTTTGGAGCTGACAGCTCCCGTGTTAACAGAGCTTCAGGAGAGACTGTGGTTGTGTCTGACGAGCAAAAGGACTCCAAACCTGAGTGCAGTGCCGTGGTCTGCTGTTGGCACTCCGTGCTGACCCACGGCACGGGCAGAGCCCACCAATCCCAGTGTCCCTGGCTCGTCACACAGGGTGTGGAGGAGGAGGGAACGCTCATGTGTGCACACGGTGGATTGCTGGGCTGTCTCCGCAGACAGGCCCCAACAGCCCCTTCCCAACAGCCAAGTTCTTCCTTAGATCATTTGCCAAAGGAGGGGGGAAAGGGAATGGAAAGAAGAACAAAGGTACATTACTGAGCAGCTCAAAGGGCACGACTCCCTCCCCTCCCTCTGCAGAAAGCTGGAGACGGTGCAGGAGTGGGATGTGTCCTTGGAATATCGGGAGTTGGCTACTGTGGAGGAGTGGTTGCCCATCTTCCGCAGGACTTGGAGCTCCGCAGGACTGGAGCCTCGGCCGTGTTGGCTCTGGCTGTTCCATCCCTGGCGTGAGCGCGGGCGCGGGGCCAGCGCCGCCCACTCCCCCCGTCCTGCCCAGGTGCGCACGGGGAAGGTGCAGCAGCACGGGGGCGGCCGGGACGTGTCACTCCGAGGAATGTGCTTCCTCCTCATCTTTGTTTCCTCATCTTCGCCCGGGCAATGCTGTGGTTTGTCCTCCCCGATTGCAGTGGTGACAAGGGGAAAGGGGAACGTCAGAGACAAAACCAGCGCAGAGCCCCCTGTGAGTCCAGACCCTCAGCCTGGCCCTGAGCAAAGCCCCTCAGGGCAGCAGGGGTGTCACAAGGTCACTGTCACACTGTCACACTGTCACTGTGTGTGTCACACGTGTGACACGTGGCTCTGTCTGTGCGTGAAGTTGCCTTTTCTTTCATCTTTTGTTTGCCATTGCACTGCTGTGTCATAAAAATACACACTGCCCAAAATATCTGTGATACTTTGATAATGCCACAGGGCAGCAATTAAAATCATGAAGTGTTAATTAAGGTGGAAAACAACATTAACCACTCGAGGACATTATTTCCATGACCTCCCATTGAATACAACCACAAGGACTGCATGTTGTTTGTATCACACTCTTTGAAGTAAAAGGCTGGGTATTAAACCAGATCCTGCCTCTGTTGATTAGCACGTGCATGCTGTGATCCCACCTTTAATACACTTCAAAATCAGAATTCCAGTTCTGTGGCATAACAGCTTTGTGGTAGCACATTGATGTTTAAACACACAATTCCGTAGGAGGAAAATGGAGGTGAAGTTCTGGCTCCAAACTCATATATCAGCAGACCCAGATACTACCTGGATAAAACCACTTCTCTCTTTAAATGTGTTTATAAAGTTTGTCCTGGAATCACATTATCATAGGAAAGTTCCTTCAAATGAGCTGAAAAACCACATATCAATGTCTCTTTCTGAAGTAGTCTTTTCTGTCAGAGTAACTCTGTGTAGCCTGAGAAGTCAAACTGTCTTTGTGGACTAAATTCCCAGTTTTTGAAATGTGCCTTAAACTGCTGCTGGCTGTCAGCATGAGCCTGCAGATCCCTCCTTGACGGGTTTCCTGAGGTCAGGGCTAATTATTAGTGCTCAAGGCAAGAGAGAATCGACTTCTGTTTTTCACACCTCCCTCACACTGTGCAGTAGGAGTAATTAAACCAGGGGATTTCGTTAGAAAAGTGTTATTTGTTGTTTCTATAGGAACAGGGGTGTGCCCAGACTTTTACAGGAGAAAAATATGAAGCAAGGGTGAATTCCAGTGAGGCACCTCAGCAGCCCCTTGCTCTGTGTCGCAAGGGTGGCAGCTGGAGGGTTGACTGCAGGCTGTGTCTGTCCTGACCCTTCTCAGGCAGCCGAGCTTGGATGGCTCAGCCTTGCCTTTATCCAGCCCAGGGCATGGATCCCCCCAGGGAGAGGCCCCAGACTATGGATCTCCCCGGGGAGAGACCCGAGGCTGCCCAGAGCTGCTCCTTCAAGGCTGTGGGAGCAGAGGGAGTGCAATCTGCAGGACTGTGGAGGTGCTGGAGCTGGAAGTGCCTCCGGCTGGGAATTGTGCCGCTGTTGGTGCGTGGATCATCCACAATGCACCACGAGGATGTTCTCCTGACCCCAGCACTGCCTCACTGGGTTGTTTCCATGTCCTTGGGTGGAATCTGAGTGGAAATGAGCTCACTGATTGATAGAATTCAGCTTTAAACCAAATCGTGTCTCCACTGCTTGGTGGATGCTGGGGGTGCTCAGGGCAGCTGATGACCCACAGGGATCACAGGGGTCTGTTCCAAGGGAGTAGGGGGGACACAGCCCTTGGTGCTGGGCAGAGCTGCAGGGCTGGACTGTGGGGATCCCTGCCAACCCAGCTGATGCACTGCAGGCATCATTCCAATGTCTGGGGGGAAAAAAAAGAATTTTGTCTAATCTCCCCCTAAATTCCAGGCAGATTTTCTGGAGAGGGGTCATAAAGCTGTGTGGCCAGCTCTGCTCTCACTCACAGTCAGTAGCATTGCTCTGATTCATCTCATTGATTTAGAAGTTGGATTTATGAAGTAATAAATGTGACAGAATCCAGCCAAGAATGTGTCTGAACTGGCTTTCCAGGAACGCTGGGCCAGCTGACAGCAGCAGGAACTGCTGTGTCAGGAGCAGCCACCGGCACCCCAGGGAGTGCCAGAAGAACTCCCAGAAGAATTTTAATCTTTTTGCTTGCACAGACCATACCCCACTGCTTCTTATCACTGTTTTCCTCACCCTTCAGAGGCACCTTTGGAAGCAGGAATCAAACTGAGCTGAGTTTGCCTGTCTGGAGAGGCAGCAGCCAGCAGATCCCTGCCCCACCTGCAGCTTCCCAAAGCTCAGGATCCGGACTGGGGGGCAGCTGCTGGGGCAGAGCTGGGGGGTGTTTGCAGGGTCCTGGCTGCATCACCTGGGCTTTGCTCACGTTCTTGCTTGGCCTCTCTGGGTTAAAGCTTCAGCTCTGCTGTCCCTGGGTGTCGCAGTGGGGGAGCAGCACTTTGTCCGACCTGAATCTCAGTGCCCAGCCCGAGGTGAAACGCAGACACTCTGACAGGTTTCACCTCCCAGCACCTGTGGGATCAGTTCCTGTCTAGACCTCCTCCAAGCAGCATCCATCCCCTCTTCCCTGGAGCTGCCAGGTCTCAGGTGTTCAGAGGTGTGGGTGTGCTGGGCCCACCATCGGGGTACCAAGGATGGGGAATGTTGGTCCTTCCAGGGAGGAGCTTTGTCCCACGGCTGCAGGAGTGGGACAGCCTGAGAGCAACAGGACCAGAGCCTGGTTTGCAGGAGTGTGAGGAGAAGCTTTATTTGATTTCTGTGCGTGGCACAGCGCTGAGAGAAGGGTGAGGGAGGGGAAGGAGGGGGGTGAGAGAGGGAGAAGGTGCTTTTCATGGCACACAGGGCCAGAGCATGTCAGCTGGGATCTGCTTTGCTGTGCCAGGTGAGGTTTGCAGCAAACCAGGCTCAGTGGGCTCCGAGGGCTCAGTGGGCAGCCTGGGTGATCTGCTCTCGGGAGGAGATCACCTTCCCATCCTGCACTTCCTCGAAGATTGTGCGGATCTGGCGGGTGGTTACAGGCCCTGCAATGGGGAGGGAAGGAACCATTATTTCCAGGGCAGCAAGGAGAAAGTGTCTTAAAGAGCTTCATCCTAAAGATTTGTTATTAGAACCATCACCTCAGAAACCCAACGTAACATCCCATTCCCCACCCCTGCTTCACTGTACAGTTTCAGTCTGATCAGATAATTTCTCAGAGAGGTTTTGGTATATCATAAGAATGGTTTGTGTCATTTTGGAAATATAATGAAATAGTAACTTTAGTAGATTAGTAGAAGAATTCTGTGCTAAGAAGGTGGATAAGGATGTGATAGAGCTGTATGTGATCAGAGCTTCAGCCAAGACCTGTTCTTACCTTCTTTTGGTGCGATGTAGTGGGAGGACATGCTACAGGAGGAGAACATGGAAAGGGAGGTCAGAAACAGGAAAAAAGTAGGTGATTGCTAAGACAAAATCATTATTTAAGTCCTGTCTTTATTTTTTGTGATAATCACCAGTAAGTGATTAAAATTCCAGTGCTTCTGGAAACTGCCCAGTGTCACAATTAAGGGAAGAAACTGCTAAGGATGCATGTGTGCCATGGGGATTTGGATACCAAGGCAGCACCTATCCCAGCTGCAAGGAGCAGCAGCAGCACCTGCTCCCTCCCCAGGGTCACACGGACACAGGAGGGATGGGAGGTGGATCCCAGGGATGCTGCAGCACCGTTATAACCACGGGGCTGTTCCGGACTTGGAGACCCTGTTGCATGCGGGGGGTCAGGGAATGGGCTGACAGGACCCTGCAGGGAATGCAGGTGGTTCCTTTTCTGTTTCCTTTGCTATCCCTCGTGTCCTCCCGCCGCCCTCCCCGCGCAGCCCCTCACGCACTGG